GCAAATCGCTTAATCTCAGCACAAGGCTTACCTCACGGCAGGACAGCGAGGGGACCTGAGCTGCGCGACTGTGAATTGCCCCAAGCTCTTGCATTTGCAAGGAGCCCCCAGGTCCTGCATGAACCCGCTTGCAGGACCTCGGCGTGGCAGGCGTCCCAGTGAGCCGGGCAGTTGGTGGGGCTCTGCGCTTTGTTCCAGCATGAATGAGGAAACCCAATCCCTGCACAAAAAAAACCCTTCTCGTTTCCCCCACTGGGGTTTTTTTTTTCTCGCTTCCTGTATCAATCTCCGATATAATCTGCCCCAGCAGAGTAACACATTCACACTCTCCTGGCTCCAGCAGCGTTTCCCACTCAGCCAGGCCACGGCATTTCAAGGCTTACACAAAACACACACGTCCTTTTCAGTTCTGACGATCCCACGAGAGTAGGAATGGAAACAGAGTGATACTATTAGAAATCATTATCATTACAGATATAAAGTATGTTGTCCTGGTTGCTCTCCAGAGATGATTAGATACTCCACTTTCCTTGGAAATACAGGCTGTCTACAGAACATTTTGCTTTTAAAACAGAAATATCAGCAGTGTTTTCCTACCAAGCAGCTCTGCTGGAGGTGGTAATACTAGAAGCTCCATTGCAGTCTGTCCCCAGTGGCATTTCTAGTCATGGTATTTCTTAACCAGGCGAAGAGCCAGCCCCGGCGAGGGCTGGTGGGATGCAGGATGCTACTTGCACTGGCAGCGTGGCGTTGGGTTGGTTGTTTGGCTCTTGGTGCTGCTATTTCTTCTTCCAGCCATGGAGATGGTCAGCCCTGCAGGACAGGGCTTGTCTGCCATCGCTGCGTGTCCAGCGCTTGGCCCTGCCAAAGACAAGGCAGAGTCTGGTTCCAGTGGTCATCGTCTCCCAAACAGCGTGTTGTTAATTTGGAGTCGAAGATTACAAATGAGTCGTGAGGTCAGAAGTGTCATTGGTGAGGACCCTCCTCTTGAGAGTCCCTCAGGCTGTGACTTACTGGGTGGTTCCATCGATGGTTTTTAGTCCCCTCTGACATACATGTACTACAGCCTCTTAGGGCTTCAACACAAAGTTTAGCTTTGGAACTGCCTTGCAAACCCTTTTATCAGCTGAGCTTGCATTATTTCTTGAACTCAAGACAGTTACTGCGCTTTGTTAGAGCTTGTGTCGGTCTGGATTGCCATGTTGCGAGGATGCCTGCCCCTCCGGAAGGCTGTTGTCAGGCCCAGAGCAGTCAAATTCTCCCTGACCCAAAGAAAAGGAGGTCTGTCGAGCACAGCATGTGTACAGTGTCCCAAAGCCATTTAGACCGCCATCAGAAGTACATGTGTTTAAAAGAGCTGGCAGGAATATCTCTCATCAGCTCTGGCTTGTACACTTTCCATCACCTCTGCTTTTCTCCTTGCAGACTTTTAACTGTTCATGCTGAAGATTTTCCAGCCTGGGTCAGCGCCTCAGGCTGGGGTTTACTTTCCAGTGTTTCAAAAAGGCACAGTTCAACTGTTTCACAGAACAAGGTTGGCGAAACGAGCTGTTTTCCCACAACGCGGAGATTTTTTTCCTACTGCTTCTAACCAGTTCTGGCACCTCC